ATCCCCTGAAGGAGGAAGAGGAATAGGGGATTGATGGAGGGACAGAGAGATTGATGGGGGGAGGAAGAGAGAGAGCAGGGAAGAGAAGGGAAGAGAGAGATGGAGGTAGGCTAGATTAATGGCATATAGGCTAGGGTATGCATTAGGCTGCCAATAAAAGTAAAATATGAGTGTGTGTTTTTAAAAAAATCATTTAATCAAATTTAAAAAGAAGCAATATGTCTGAGTTTAGAGAAATAAATCATGATTTCACTCCAGGGGAACAAACTTTGTACAGTCCTCTGACACACACCTGTTTTTTTTATACAGAGAATACATTGAGACCCAGGAAGACTGACTGTATATCAAACACAGGAATCCCTCCCTCCATGGACAAGGCAAACAGTCAGATCAAATCTCCAAGGGGAGCCTTTGTAACCCTGTACACATGAAGGGACCTGTTAGTCCATTTTTCTCCCATGTATATTAGGAAAGAAGAAAAACAAACAAACAGAGAGATAGCTGTGTGTGACGGTTAACGATTTATTGCCATCTGCTCATTTTAGGTTCTTAATGTAAATAAAAGGAGTTACTCTTCTGGCTGGAGTGAATGGTCCTGATTATCAGGCAGAAACTGGGCTGCTACTACACAACAGGAAAAAGGAGAACTATGTCTGAAAGCCAAGAGCCTCTGTGGGTTTCTAAGAAGTACTTCCATGCCCAGAAATAAAGGTCAACAGACAACAAAGTTGCAGCAAGGTTTTCCATGGTTCCAGTGCCAGCCCAAGTGACTGCTGCAGGGCAGGTGGCTTCTCCAGCCTCAGCTTCCTGCCCTGCAAGCACAGAGGGAGGGGCCTCTCCAGCACCCGGCTACGGAGCACCTCCATCTTGCATGGTGCCTAGTTCCTGCAACAGAACCAGCTTCTCCATCCCAGCTCCAGGCTCTTGTAGCATGGAAAGCTTCTCAGCACCAGGAAAGCAGAACAGCAGTGCCTAGCAGCACCCATCAGCCAGCAGCTTCCCCCGGCAACCCTCTGGGGCTTTTCTGTAGCACAGTACTTCTAATCAGACACTTCTCCATGAAGAGATTTCCCAAACACCCTATAGGGCAAATTTCTAGCAAGTTTCAGAGGGCAGATGTCCATCAAGTTCTGTTAGAATAGTACTATGCAGCCTCTCACCGTTCAGTGAGCTGTGGTGTGCCTTCTCTAATGAAGTCTGGATCACAGCCCCAGTGGGGATTCCTTTTGGGCATCCTGTCTCAGCCCTAGAAGTAGCCTGCTCCTTAAATCTGCTCTTCGTCTATTCTTCCAAGTGCTACGAATTCTACTAACCAAGTCTTCATTACTCCAGTCCCCGGTACAGTTAATAATTGTTCATCAACTTTTCCTGTCCAAGTTACTCTGTGTCCCAGAAGCAATGAGCATATCTGACAAGATTCTCCTTTCCAAATGCCATATTCCAATGGCAGTCGAGGGCTGAGGCAGAAAAATACAACATGGCCTTGGAGTATCCTATAGTACCAGTAAGGAAGGAAGTGCTCAACAAACAAAACAAAAACCAAACAGACAAAAAAAGGAGAGGGGCACATCAAAAGGACATGGGAGTGACCTGAAATAACTCCCAATCTCCAAAGCAGGAACAATTTGAACAACAAAATCACATAATATTGGCTTATAAACCAAAACTCCATATAAATATCTAGAGTCCATATTGACACAAAGGTTGAATAAGTGGGAGAAAGACAAATCTTCCTGACAGAAGAATTCCAAAGAACATATATAGGGACTCCCCCTCAAAGACATGAACGTAATCCCTGCCCTTCACCCTTGAGGGTAGCCTAGACTTAGACTCATTTCCAAAGACTAGGAAAAGGGAAAATAGTAACTTTATGTGGAGAAACATGGTGTACACTATGCATCAGCAAATGATGAAGTTTAACCAAGTGATGACATCATCAGCGATGTCACATGAACCTTATGATACCCCTGATATGATGTGATGAGCAGGGTATTTCAGCTCTGGGGTATTCTTTTCAAAACCCATAACCCTAGTCTAATCATGAGAAAAAAACACTAGATAAACATAGACCAGGGGACAGTCCACAGGATACTTGGCCAGCACTCTTCAAGATTGTCAAGGTTAGGAAAAGCCAAAGATGGCAATTGTCATAGACCATAGGAGACCGGGCAGACATGAGAATGAAATGCAATATGGTGCCCTGGATTGGATCCTGGAACAGATAAAGGACATTAATAGAAAAAACAATGAAATCCAAAGTCTGAAGTTTAATTAATAGTAATGTACTAATGGTCAGTTTCTCAATTTGACAAACTAATGGTAAGATGTTAACAAGGGGAAAACTGGTTGCAGGTACATGGTAACTCTCTGCTATCCTTGCAACTCTTCTGTAAATCTAAAATGGTCCCAAAATAAAAGGTTTGCCTTAAAAAAATTTATTGTGGTTTCTGTCTCCTGATGGGACCCTGACTGATGCAAGCATCTAGTCTGATTATCAAGGCAATCATTCTATGGACCTAACAAACATCATCCAATGTATTCATAACCATAACCAGAGAGGGAGGGAACAGGGAAATAGAATCCTTGGAAATGAGGTCGTTTATTTTTTTTAAAGATTTATTTATTTGAGAGAGAGAGAGTGCACATGAGTGGGGGAAGGGGCAGAGGGAGAGAGAGAGAGAGAGAGAGAGAGAGAGAGAGAATCTCAGGCAGACTCCCCACTGAGCGTAGAGTCTGATGCCCAGCTGGATCCCAAGACCCGAGATCATGACCTGAGCCGAAATCAAGAGTCAGATGCTTAATGGACTGAGCCACCCAGGCCCCCAAAATGAGGTCATTTAAACTGTGCTACCTAGTAGATTACTCAAACCTGCATTTTGTTTCAAGAATTACTTGGCTTAGAATAATTAAATGACACACTTTCTAACAAGTGATATTGGAGGAACTGCTGCAGACAAAGCCCAGGTAAACCACACCCAGTGCTCCAGCTCAGAACAGCATTTGCTCAGGTGTTTAAACAAAGGGTCAGAAATGTTTTTCTCAGAGCATCTTTAAAGACATCAGCTATGTACCAGTGTTTATTTATGCTTTTGGTCATTATAGAGCCAAAACAGAAGTTGTAAAGAAGAGACTAAAGATTGCATCAATATCATATTCTAGGATGGAAAGAATACGTGTCCTCAGAATTCTAGAGGCTTCATTCAAAAATCAGTAAACTCCAAAAGCAAGCAACAAGTTATTTTCTAGAAAGCCTAAACTCCAAAATAAAGCAACAGTTTGTTTTCTAGAAGGCCTGAATCAGTTCTGGAGAGCCTGAAACTCATGTAGCCTTTTGTTTTCTTCACACAAACACTCATCAGTCTGATCTCTCAGCTGGAGGCAGGCTGTGGGCTCCTTAGGACACTAACTCTGAATACGGCTGCAACTATTCTATCCCACAGCATACTTGCCCTGGAATTAGGAACAAACCTCACTTTTCAAACGAAGAATACATCCACTCATTTCATTCCTGCTACTTGATAGAATAATGTTATCTTTCTGCAAAATGTGTAGGCACAACTGATTTTTAAGCTGGAAAAGTTAATGAAAACAACATTGCATTTGAGGTCAGTGGGCAAGAAAAATGGCTGTGAGCCAAATCCCACATCCCAAACATTTTGCCTCTGCGGCATGTGAACAAAATGCCCACTCTCCTCCTGATCTCCAGCAGAAGCAAAACAAAACCCTGCAAGACAGTTATCCATTGGAATTGGAAGCTTTTCAGGGGCAGAAACACACACACACACACACACACACACACACACACACACACTCCTTGTTAAAGACACAATAAAAAGGCTCTTTCACACAGAATGTTCTGTGCACAGGCAGCACAAGGACTACCCCTGGAGATGCTGTTTCAGGGACAGCCAAGAGATCACAAGCCTAAAACAAGCAGTTTTTACAAGATACACAGTAATCTCCCCAATTCCAAATACAAGCAAGAAAGAATTCTTAAGACCGGTTTATCTAGTCGGCTTGAAATCCCTTTGGACTAGTTGCAGAGAATTGTGCAGCAGAAATGAGGACGAATTTGTGTTGTCATGAGATCCTGCTGATTTTTAAAACTATGATTTCCTTTCTCTCAATGTAAAATTTCATGCATTAGAATTCAGTTGCACTTGGACTCCCCCTCACATTTTTCAAAGCAAAAAAGCAGTACAAAGAAGCAGGAAGTATCCACAGTTACACGTGCAGCAACAAGTTAGCCAGAAAACTGAAAGTTTTAACTGTGAAATTTAGAAAAGCAACTGTATTACATGACATTCCACTGCTTAATCCTCTTAATAAAGAATACGAGGTTTTAAGTGCAAGCTGTTTACAGCCCAAAATATCATTATGTTAGAATTATATAAATTCTAACACAATGGGGACAAATTATATACCATATTACAATTTGACTTAATACCAAAATGTTCATAAATTTTCAGTTATTACCAATATTTATCCCCCATGTTTTCTGAATGAGTACTCATTACTTGCATCTCAGAATTCAAAGGTAAATAAATATATTAAGCATTGAAAATATCAATTTTACTTCTGACTTAAAGCCAACAGGTGATACATTTTAATCACCAAGGAAGAATGTGAGATAAATCAACCTGTAAACACAGCAGTTAGGATAGAATAGTTATGAAACCAGAAAACTGCTTTACTGAACTAAAGAACCTGAATCCTGGACCCTACTCTGGAAATCATATTCATATCTACAGAGGTATCAGCATCAGATTATTGAAATCTCCTTCTTTCCAAGTACTTTTCTTTATCCTCAATTAACAACAGTTCTGTATATAACACATATACTGATTTAAAACAAACTGTATTCCTGAGCTGGACTGGGAATCCACACCATATTCTGTATAGAGAGCAAGAGGGAAACCAGGGGTTCAGGATAATCTGCAGACAAGGGAGCCCATACAGCAAAAACACGCCGAGACAGACAAGAGCAGGTGGAAACTTACCACTGGAGCAGTTGATCCCACCCCAGCCAGGCTCACACTGACAGGTGTTTGGAGCAATGCAGCGACCGTGGACACATTTATCAGCACAGTGGGCTGTCAGAGAGAAAATCAATCAAATAAGGAAAGTTGGCACAAGAAAAAAAAAAAAACAAACAACAAACCAACAACACAGCTGTTTCACATCCCAGTGTCAAGTATCACTTAAAAACAACATGCATGCTTGATAATTTCCTTCAGTCCATTCCTTGGCCCTCTTATGCTCTGCTGTGTGACCGAACAATTCCCCTTCTTATTTTGAGATCTCCAAATAAATTCCTTCATTTCTACTATTTAATTCTACTTCATGCCAAATTAGGAAAGAAGTTTCAAGGAAAACTGCCCAGCCCACATTTAAAAAAAAAAAAAAAAAAGATCAATGACTACCCAAGAGTCAATTGTCAATGACTACCTGAACTCTTTGTTTCAGGAAGAGCATGTGTGGATACAGGGACCAAACCAAACCCAAAGCAAGATATGAGGACTCTGAAATGGCAGAGTAGAGGGAGGGGTGTTCCCCTCACACGATACCTTCACTGGAAACAAAAGTCAAATTTCTTTGGGCACATGTCATTCACAACTATTACACAGCAGAAACAGGCGCTCTTTTTCTATTGACAAAAATATTCAAAAACTGTCATCCAGGTCTTTAGGAAGTAGTCAATCCCGGTTCCTCTTTCATTAGTGAATACCTCAGGTGTGACCCACTCCGTGGAAGTCAGGGTTATCATTGCAAACATGAGTGGATGGGTCGTCTGAGGATTTCTAAAGCAAAGGCCCATGGCCCCATAGAAAGGAACATCAAATATATACCATGCTAAATGTTAACATTGCCTTCAACGTCAGCGCCACTCACTTTGATTAAACATTCTTTAAAGTACCTTGAAATATGAGTAATTGTGAGAACCACATGGCATAGTTGGGGGTTCAGATATTCTAAAATTTTATGTAAGGATGGGATAAGCTATCCTATGCTTTACAGATAAGTTTTATTAATGCATATCTTATTACAAAAGTAAAACAGATTTACTGTCTACATGTGAAATACCAAAAAGCAAAATAAACCTATCTCTGGTTCCATCAACTCATAACATTTGTGTTTATGTAGATCCTTTCAGGAAATTTTCCCTATATTTTTCTCTCCTCAAGGAAAAAAAAAGGATCATAATATTTTTCAATCTTCCTTTCCACTCAATATAATGGTAAAAATCTTTCCACGTCATTAAATATTATTTTATGTGATTTAAGCAGTGTTGTGTGATAATTTATATTGTGCATATATACTGTATATATAGTGTATATACCATGATATATATACATATATAGTATATATATTTACATGTGTATATATATATATATGTGTGTGTGTGTGTGTATTTTATATATTATATATTTTCTGGACCAAAAACAACCACTTCTAAGGTATTTATCAAAAAAATTTAGACATACGGAGATAAGGAGAAGTCATTTTAGATGAAAAGAAAGCAAAAGGAAGGGGTAGAAAGAAGTCAAATGGAAATGAGAAGATCTGCTTGGGTGCAATGTCAGGAGCAAAAGCTTTGGAAAGATACAGACTTTGAAAACCAAACTAAGGTGTTGTTAGGACTTTATTCTGAGAATTAACTGGGAATACTCTAATGAAATGTACAGAATTATTATAACAAACAATCAGGTAGAGGATATCACAAGGGAATACAGTGACCATAAACTTAAGGAACTAAAGGCTCATTTCCTTCACCAGAATAATTATTTAGCCCCCAGGCCACTGGGGAAGGATGCCAGGCCAAGGGAACTTGGGACCTTGGGCCAGAGTAGAGATATTGACACTAGCATTCCAAGGAGATGCTTAGCAACTCCCCAATACTTGATTCAGACAATCATATATTGGATTGTAAGTAAAAGTAAGATCAGCTTGTAACATATGAACACACATGCTGCCAGGTTAAGTCAATAGATGCCAACCTCAGGGTCCACTGTCCCTTCCCATTTCCATGCCCATGTTTGATATTGTAGATGTGCCACTCCTTTGTAAGGTCATAGCTCCGTACTGTTCTTTAAAGTGTAGCTATGTGGGGCGCCTGGGTGGCTCAGTTGTTAAGCGTCTGCCTTCGGCTCAGGTCATGATCCCAGGATCCTGGGATCGAGTCCCACATTGGGATCCCTGCTCGGCGGGAAGCCTGCTTCTCCCTCTCCCACGCCCCCTGCTTGTGTTCCTGCTCTCGCTATCTCTCTCTCTGTCAAATAAATAAATAAAATCTTTAAAAAAATAAAAATTAAAAAATAACGTGTAGCTATGCATATACAAGCCAGCAAACTACCATAATTGGAGTATGGAAGGGTCAATTAAATGCCACATAAAGCTCAGGTCTAACCGTGCCGTGGGCATATTCTGGATCACACTATGTGCTATGGTAGCACGTGCACCCCAGGACACTCCCACCTTACCGGGAACACTGGAGCCCACCGTAATATGTAAATATGAAAGTGCTTTGTCTCCCTTGACATCTCTGTTCGCAACATAATTGCAAACATCAGTCTTCAGACCCAAATTTACCAATTTCTCCTCATTTAAGATACTAAAACTATTTAAAACTCCGTTTGCAAGTCTCGAGAAGTTTTAAAGATCCGATACTAGGCACCTCTACTATGAAAGAAGCGTTGTCTGGTATTGTGCATTTAAAAGAAAACACAGGGCACCTGGGTGGCTCAGATGGTTAAGCGTCTGCCTTAGGCTCAGGTCATGATCCCGGGGTCCTGGGATCGAGTCCCACATCGGGCTCCCTGTTGAGCAGGAAGCCTGCTTCTCCCTCTGGCTCTGCCCCTCCCCCTGCTTGTACACTCTCTCTGTCAAAAATAAATAAAATCTTTAAAAAAAAAAAAAAGAAAAGAAAACACAGAAATTGGCTATGGCAGTTGAAGAAAAAAATGTGTCACCCATCGCCTCAAATTTCAAATTTTTGAGATCGCTGAGTAATCATACGAATGCTCTCATGTTTGATTCCTGATGGGACAAACTTGGTGTTTTATGAAATGAACACCAAGAAGTCCAGTCAGTTAGAATAGATAAAACAAAAATCCTGCGATGGTAAATGAAAAATCCAGGTCACTTTTATAGAAGCCTCGAACTAACATTTGGCTAAAGTCTGGAGCAAACTGTCAATAGATAGTTAGCAGCAAACAAATTCATCTGTAAATTAATGAGAAACTGGAAGGGGGACTCTGCATTCCTAATGATTTTTTTTTTCTTAATTAAAGCTAAAGCCAATGGAATCACCTCTGAGCATTGAAGCCTCAAGTCAAGTAATTAACTAAGTAATGGGAAATATTGTTGGGCATAGATTCCAAATGGAAAGAACACAAATTCTATAGCCATAGTGCAGGATCTTCCCACAGCATTAGACTCTGTCACACAGTGCCATGTGTGTTCCATGTCCTTCCTTAACCCACTAGCTTGGACCCCCACATCTAGCAAGAAACTTCACACAGTAACAGCTAGCCCAGCAGGAGCAAAGGGAGACAACAGAAGAAAAGAGAGTAAGCTATAAAACTCTGTGTCCTCAAACGTCCCAATTTGCCAAATGGCAGGAACATTCACTATGGCATATGTATGGACAAACACAGACCCTCCCCCAAGGACATCAGCGGAGCTCGATCCCTACCCTAGTCTCATCTTTCCTCATTTAGCTTCAGATGCCACCTACTCTGGAAACCAAGCTTCCATAACTAACAAACTCCACGTGAGAAACCAAAGTAAGATAAAGACATCGATTTGTCCTGTAGAAAATCCCAAAGTGAACTAGAAAGAGAAAAGGAACAGAGGTCCCCCTTAGATTTCAAGAATAGGTACCAAAAAAAAAAAAAAAAAGAATAGGTACAAAAGACCCACCATAAGTGTGGCTCTTGCAACAATGGAAAACAGTCATTTTATTCCCTATTCAGGTCCTTTCTTCTTTTTTTAGAAGGGCAATTACAATCAGGAAAATGCTAGCAAAGATGATCTATTCAATGATTTATTTTTCACACCTCCCTTTAAGAAAATCATCACTTTTCATTGTCTGAGGTTTTAGTTGTCTTTTTTAGAGACCAGCTGTAAGCTGGATCTCTGCGCCCCACTAAATGCACTGGTGCAGACTCATGACTTGTGAGGGGCAGCCAAGGCATCTTCCACCTCAAGAACTGGCAGGCAAGAGACACTGATGAGAAGAACATGCCACATCTTTGAAGTGAAAGCTGTGGACAGTCTGTCTGCCCGACAGACAGGTGAAGACTGACATGATGACCCTAGGATCTTCTCTAATTAGGATCCTATTTCAGCCTTAGTTCCTAAATCCATTTAAATCCCATTTACCAGTGTCATGGACCTCATTCCGTTCACTTGTAAATACTTGGCTTTAATACCAAGAGCCACTAACTATACTCAATAGTTTTCTCTTCTGCCACATACATTTCACTTTGGATTTACACCTAGGGTATGGAAAAAAAAAAAAAGAGAGTGGGCAGACTAAAGATTCCTTTATAAACCAATTATATCTCCTAATACAGTACTTACTGTTATTCTAATGGACATACTTTAATCAATTCACTTAATTTGAAAAATGTTTCCATGATCCAAGTATCTCTTGAAAATAACTATCCAGAAGAAATACAAACCTTCCTGCTAACCCATCTTTCCCCAGAAATTCCTTTTATTCTGATATTATAAATGAATAGCATAGGTCACAAATCTTGTTTTCACCCTTTATGCTGAGTTGCTATAGAGGAATATCTATTTTTAGAGTTAAAGGTGCCTTTACTGAACATAATTGCCACATTTTTTTCAGACAAGGAAACCGAGGGTAGGTACCTGGGATGGTTTTCCCAACACTCATAGCTGGTGTTAGAGGCAAACGTAGGATTAAACTCTAGTACCTGACTCGCAGTAGGCCAAAACTTACGATGGGTTTTAAGAGAGGTGGGGGGCAGGGTGAAAAGGATGGTAGAGGTGACGCTGGGTCCCATACTAGGGTAGGTGAACTAGATGGCTAGGAGTCATAAGTTAGACGATTCAAACGAGGAAG